CAGGAAGCTTTTGCAGCCTGTCCAAAGTTCTGAGTAGCAACTGATGTTGGCCTATGTATGACCACCCCAGAAAAATTATATTAAATTCTGTATGATTGTGTCTGGCTCACATACTGACTTCCGTATGACCACCCATAATATTAATGATAACCAATTCTATATATTTGTATCTGGTCCATATCCTGATCTGTGTACAACCATCCATAATAATGATAACATGTCCTATATGATTATGTCCGGCCATGTCCTGATCTTGATCTGTTGTATGATCACCCATAACAATAATGAGGATGAATCATGTATAGTTGTGCCTGGCCTATATCTTCATAGATATAATAATAGTGACATTAAGTCGCTGCGGTACTGTGCGGCTACCAGAAGTGACGAAAGCGGAACCGGCGCCATTTTGTGGCACTTGGCGGTGGTGAGAGCACTGCAGGGACTCACATAGCATTTTTGCTCGATTTCAATATCTGCAGCATTTTGTAGCTTGAATTTAATTTATTGCTTGTCAGTGGCTATCTATTTGGGCCAATAAAGAAGGTATTTTGTACTGCACTATTGGGGTTCTCGTTTGTGTTTTTTCCCTTACATGACCATTTGGTAGGTGATCACAGAGGAGGAAGAAGGGTGGCCATGCATCATTCTCAATGCCTTTATACCTATTACCAACCAACCCATGGAATGACATCTGTGTATCCTGAAGAGATTGATATCTTGGTGTATGGGAGACGGTGATTGTTATCTTTAAGTGATTTAGCCAACCATGAGAATGGGGGGCATATGTATCTGGTGAGTGCACACCCGAAAGGGGGGACACTTTATTTTTTGCACACGTGGTGAATTTTCTTGGAGAACTTGAAGAGTTTGTGGGTTCATTAAGGACTTTATTTAGGACTTTTTCACATCAAAAGTTACATTTTTATATTTAAGTTATATTTTCTTATTCACTTTATGACATTTTGCGCTACTGAACCACTTTAATGTTTTTTTGGGGGTCACATATATGATTCTGTCCGGCCCATATCCTGATTTACATATGACTACCTGTAACAGTAATGATAATAAATCCTGTGCCTAGTCCATATCTTCTTGACCTGTACATGGCCACCTAAAGTAATAATGATACAAAATTCTGAACAAATGTGTCTCACCCACATACTGACTCCCTACCCCCCAAAAAAATAAAGATAGTAAATTTTGTAAGATTGTCCCGATCCACATTCTGATCTGTGTATGACCCCCTGCACCCCCAAAAATATTTCTGTAGGCGTGTATCCGACCCACATACTGATCTGTGTATGCCCCCCCCCCCAAAAAAAAATAATGATATAAAGTCCTAAATGACTGTGTCCAGTCCATATCGTGATCTATGACCAACAACCCAAAATAATAATAGGAAATCCTGTATGATTGTGTTAAGCCCAAATTTTCCTGATCTGTGTATGGCCACCTATAATAATAAAAATTTTTTATGATTTTGTCATGCCAATATCCTGATCTATGTTTGGCCACCCATGAAAATAAGAATGTTGTTACAGAGTAACAAAACCCTGGACCCTGCATTCACTATATCTGGTCTCCCCGGACCCTGCATTCACTATATCCGGTCTCCCCGGACCCTGCATTCACTATATCCGGTCCCCCCGGACCTTGTATTCACTATATCCGGTATCCCTGGACCCTGCATTCACTATATCCGGTCTCCCCGGACCCCGCATTCACTATATCTGGTCTCCCCGGACCCTGCATTCACTATATCCTGTCTCCCAGGACCCTGCATTCACTATATCCGGTCTCCCCGGACCCTGCATTCACTATATCTGGTCTCTCCGGACCCTGCATTCACTATATCTGGTCTCCCCGTACCTTGCATTCACTATATCTGGTCTCCCCGGACCCTGCATTCACTATATCCGGTCTCCACGGACCCTGCATTCACTATATCCGATCTCCCCGGACCCTGCATTCACTATATCCCCTCTCCCTGGACCCTGCATTCACTATATCCGGTCTCCCCGGACCCTGCATTCACTATATCTGGTCTCCCCGGACCCTGCATTCACTATATCCGGTCTCCCCGGACCCTGCATTCACTATATCTGGTCTCCCCGGACCTTGTATTCACTATATCTGGTATCCCTGGACCCTGCATTCACTATATCTGGTCTCCCCGGACCCTGCATTCACTATATCTGGTCTCCCCGGACCCCGCATTCACTATATATGGTCTCCCCGGACCCTGCATTCACTATATCCTGTCTCCCAGGACCCTGCATTCACTATATCCGGTCTCCCCGGACCCTGCATTCACTATATCTGGTCTCTCCGGACCCTGCATTCACTATATCTGGTCTCCCCGTACCCTGCATTCACTATATCCGCTCTCCCCGGACCCTGCATTCACTATATCTGGTCTCCCCGGACCCTGCATTCACTATATCTGGTCTCCACGGACCCTGCATTCACTATATCCCCTCTCCCTGGACCCTGCATTCACTATATCCGGTCTCCCCGGACCCTGCATTCACTATATCCGGTCTCCCCGGACCCTGCATTCACTATATCCGCTCTCCCCGGTTCCTGCATTCACTATATCCGCTCTCCCCGGACCCTGCATTCACTATATCCGCTCTCCCACAGTACACAGAACATGGAAATGCAATTATTTTAATAAAAATAAACTGCTAAATACATTTTTCTCATCAGCAGTTAGAGTCTTGTGACTTCTATCAGTGTTCAGCAGAGCACTGGTTAAAGCTTTTAGGCAGAGTTTTCATTCTCCCATTGTCCTTTGAGGCTGCATAACCCCTGACTCTGTCTGGACAGTGCTGATTGGTCCTGTGCTGCTAAAACTGCTAAAAGCAGCAAAAATAATTCACACATCTGTCTTTTCAACTTTTATTGCTTGTTTTTCTTGATAATATGTCCACTTTTCACCATTTATAGCTCTCTGGACTCTGGAAACCAAAGAAAACTTCCCATTATGGGACACCCATGCACCCTCCCCCTAGTATAGTCACCGGGCCCGGCCCTGGTTATATATGGGGTAAGGGGAATGGTTGTTGTTATGCAAGTATAGGCTTTCAAATGTCATTTGACTTTTCTGGGGCTGTAGATGAAGATTGGGAACAGTCTGGGGATTGCTGAAGAGATAGGAGCACTTTATTGCATCGCTGTAAATCTCCTGCATTATTTTGATGACTGTGTACAATACAAAGTCACTATAATGGATGAGATATTATCTGAGTGTGTGTACAGGTGCGATCCTCAGCACGGAGAGTCATCACTGTGTGCCCTGATTGGCCTGATGACTACCATGATATATTACCTCCTGTGTGCACACAGTGTGATCAGACGACCCCGAGGCCTATTATATTGCTGACAGACCCACAATACGCTCTGTTCATTCTGTTCTTCTTCCTTTGCCAGTGCACTGGGCTTACTGTGTCAATGACTAGTGGGTGTGCATCACACGTCTCCTATACTGCTGGCCAGACTTCTATTATCATATGGTTTTCCCATGTTATTGGGTGTAGCCACATTTCCTATGCATTACAATTAAATCACTATTAAACCCAAAACGTAAAATGTAATATATTGCAGCTTACGAATCCTTAGATGTGGTGGCTGCCTTACTTTTCTTTTGCTAGGCTTTTTCCCTCTGTTTTCACCTGAACATCTGGCCAGTAACACACTTCCTGTATTAAGGTGTCTCCACTGTAGATAAAGAGCAGCAGAGACACCTTTGGATATCAGCATTGTCAATCTAGGGAGGAGGGAAGTGTTCTATGTACTAGCAGATTTAAATACACTAACAAATTGAAGTCAAACTCCAGCTCATATTTTATAAAAATATTTGCAGCAACAAAAGATTTTACATAAATAAATGAAAGCTGACCATTGTAAGCACGTGCCCCTGTCAGTGGTAAATGGTTTGTTTCAACCCTCTAACTGCTACAGTATATCTGCAGGACAGCTTGCTCTGTTTGACAACAGACTTACTGGCAGGATCACCAGATGAAAATAGAAGAAAGAAAGCCTAATTAATTAAAACTAATACAGCCTTTACAACTAAGAGTTGGTGAGCTGCACTATAATAAATGTTTGTTTTTGGCTTTAATACCGCTTTAAATGAGACCACCAAGATCACAGGAGAGGAAGATCAAGTTTTAAAGGATAAGTCCACCTTTCATAACATGTTACACCCATATTCAGGGTGTGACATGTTATGATTAGACTGGCCCCTGATTCCCCTCAGGACCCCCCCCCCCTGTTTCTAGCGTGGAATCTTCTCTCCCCTCGCTACCTGTCAAACTTTTACAAAAAAGGCCATGCAGGGCTCCGCCCACGTGGCCACGTCGCTCATTTACAGTCACCTTAGCGGCTCTCAGCTTGTAGTCCTCAATGAACTAAGATAGCACTGTGAAGCGCCGTGGTAGTTCATTCATCCTTTCTGTCAGCATAGCTGCTTGCTCTTCCCATATGAGCAAGCAGCTATACTGACAGATCTGCAGGAGACCTGCATGGCACCAGTGACCTGCTGAATGCTGGTGCAATGGGTTACTGGCACCTGCAGACAAAA